TGCAAGGAAGGCTTTGAGCTTTTTACCTCAAAAAGGAGCTCCAACCTCTATAGAACTCGGATCTACTCTTGCTTTCCAACTTCTAGCTCCAACAATGGCTTCCTCTTCTCCTTCTTCACCTTAAAAAGGCACCTTCAAGCTTAAGAACACACACACTAGCTGAGAACGGGTTTTCTGCTCTCTTAGGGATCACTCAAAGAAGTATGTTGGCTAGGGTAAAGGACTTAACATTCCTTATATAGTGCACAAGCCATACTTAGGGTTTCCATCTGGGCACATTACGCCCAACGTAACCCTGGGTACGCCCAGTGTACCCAAGCGAGTCCGCGTCCAAAATAAGCGTGCGAGTACGCGCGGCGTACACCTGATTACGCCCAGCGTACTCATAAGTACAATGTTCAACTTAAGGGACTTATCTTGACAACTTGAAAAAGTAGAAGGGTTATAAAGCTTACCTGAGTTTCGGGATGTTACAATTAAGTTGTACGAACGTGAAACTAGGGTTAACTAGAAAATTGGTAAGTTAATGTGTGAGCTTGTGTGATGAACCATCAAATAGGGGTTAATTGAATTAGCATATTTGATTAGCTTATTACAAGTCTTACTTAACTCGAATTAATAAACTAGGAAATCTATTAGTTTAATCACTTAATCACTGCTTGAATTGATATATTTTCTAAGGATTAGTAATAGCGAACATGAACCTAATCACACTTATCGGTAGCCAATGCCAATTAATCAATTGCACTTGTCCAAAGTCAGCCATAGGAATAAATGATTCGAACCTAAATAGAAATCTCCTTAATTATTGAATTTAGTTGATTTTTATCTGCTTAGCTCTTAGTTGTTTAGTTTAAGTTTTAGTTAATTGTTTAAGTTTCTAGTCTTGCAAAACTAGAGAAACCTCATTTTATTACTTGTTTTATTTAGATAATATTAGCATTTATTTTAATTGTTTACCATTCCCTGTGTTCGATACCCTACTTACCTGAACTAAACTGTTAATCGATAGGTACACTGCCTTTCGTGTGTTTTTCCTTGTGTTTAAATTAGTAGGATTAAAACTAGTTGGTTTCACACACATCAAGTTTTTGGCACCGTTGTCGGGGAACGGTTCTAAATAATTAATTTTATTTGCTAGTTGTTATTATTATTTTTATTTGTTGATTAATTTTTTTTATTTTTATTTTTATTTATTATGTATTTTCCAAATCTCGATGCTTTTGATGCTTTTCTTGAGGAAGTAGTACAGGAAATTGAGCAAGAAGATGAGGAGTGCGGATCGGATGAAGATTTGAAGAAATTTGATAGATGGTTAGATAACATCTTGTCTAACGATCAAGAACAATTTGAGTCACAAGAGCTAAAGTTACAAGATCAAGAATTTAATCCAGAAAGAGATTTGGAGGAGCTGGAAGGATTGCTGGCAGAATGGTCGGATGAAGAACAAAAACAAGCTGAATTGCAGGAACCAACTCGTGGTTTGACCATTACCACAACATGGTCCCTTGTTCTTCCGGTTTGTGTTTCAAAGCATGGGGTGATGATTCCAACTCAGGAGAAAGTTCTAAATCACGATCCATTTATGATTAGTATCCAACCGGTTCCAACCCTTGTCAGTATTCTTGGGTTTTATGAATTCAAGCTCGTTTGGCTAATTTTTGAAGCAAAAAGTCGAATTTTATAAATTTGTCCAAAGAAAATATTTAATGCAATGGATGGATGGGCATCGAATTTATTAGAAGTTTATTAAGTTGGGAGTCCAGCTAAAGACTCGCACAAAAAGAAGCGCTTACGGGAGGCAACCCGTAATTAGAGTTTGCTTTCTTTTTCTTTCAAAACTTCTAGTATTTAGGGATAATTTAGGATTTTTATTTTGATGTTTTTTATTACTTGGTATTTGTTTTTGATCTTTTCAGAATATAGGGTGAGGGATAGAATCAACGAATAAAGCGTAAGGAAATAAAGTGAGGGGTCGAGTCGTAGACGAGAAGATTAGAAGATTTGAGTGATTTTATAAGTCCGATGGTTTTAACGGTTAAAAAGGAGTTTCGTCATTGAAGAATATAAGGATATGTATTACCTTAATACCCTCTTTGACCTCAAAAACAGACCTGAAGCAGAAAGAAGAATTTGCACGATCAGAGCCGAAAACTCATCGAGTGCACCCTTATAACTCGACGAGTTCTAGCGAAAATTCACGATTTCTGCCCATATGACGATTCAACTCGGCGTATCTCCACATAAAACATGACGAGTTGCTCATTATTTTATCTTTGAGTTGACGATTTGATTCAATTCAAGGGGACAATTGGCTATATTTTTGAAGACCATTTCTAGGCGATTTCAAGATGCTTTTTCCCACATATTTAGAGTTGTCAACCACACAAGATTCGACGCCCAAGGCATGGATGCGCTGTTCCCATGCCAAAGTCAGCTGAAGTTGGAGATTTACATGAAGAATATCAACCTCGCGACTACTATCCCAGGGGAGTTTGTTCCAATTCTCTCTTTCCTTTTATGTTATTTTTATCATGCGTAATATGCAATGGGGACATTGCATAAATTAAGTGTGGGGTAGGGGTTGGTTACATTAGTAAAATGTTAGTTAAATTTTGAAAATTTTGAAATTTTTGCATAAAAATTGTAGGGCTAAATTAGAAAGTTTTGGTAACAGCAATTAGGAATCGTGCTAGTATTATGTTTGATGATTCTTTGAAGACCCAAATGTTTAGTTGAGCCTACATACGTTATAATGCATTTGTGGCCTCCTTTATTCTAGTGAAATCATGGGACAAAAACACAACCTCGCTTAGTTTGAGGGACGCAATATGTTTAGCATCGTGTACCAGAAATGTATCCAGGAAAATGTTATCTTTAACCAATAAAGGTTGAAGTTGAACGCCCATGCTTAAGCATGTAGGTTTTGAGTGAAAAAAAATGAGTTATATGTGAAAAAAAAAAGAGAGAATTATAAGAAAAGTTGTAAGAATTTTGGAGCAGTTAAAGTGAAGGTCAAAAGATCAAAGTACTGAAAAAAAAAGTTGAAGATACCAAAAATTAAAAATGATGGTGAATTCAAGGAAATCAAGATCAAATTATCAAAGAAGTGAAGAATTCCAAAAAGCTCCATAGTGGTATCGAAAAAAGTTGTAATTTTTTCTAGATTATGTATGCTTGGGTTGCTTGACCAAAAATACCTTGAGGTTAGGAAGTTTTCTGCGGATGGATTCGGAGGGATGCATAAAATGAGCGTTGTTCAAAAGAAGTGGGTGAGTGTTTATGAGGATTGTACGTATTTAGGATTAAGGGGGGTCCTTAGGAAAAAATTTAGACACAAATGCATACGTTGCGGTCTTGGCATTATAGTTGGGTTTGGTTAGAATTATTTTATGTAATGCTAGTATGCTAAAATTCAGTTTTGCTTGGGGGCAAGCAAAAGTCAAGTGTGGGGTATTTTGATATGGGCATATTTAGTTATAAAATTCATGCATTATCTTAATACTTTATGTTATTTTTGTCTCATTTAATGAACAAAAGGTGCTTAATTAGTTTAGAATTTCATTTCTAAGCAACAATGACATGCTCGGGTGGAAAAGGAAGCGGAACTAGTGATTGGAAGCTTGGATCTTGGATTTTGAACAAAGAAGGATGTTGTTGGACATCTTGACCCCTCGTCAGTGTTTTGGCCATATCTCATGAACCCTAACTCCGATTGATGAGATTCAAAATGTTCTGAAAACTAGACACAATTTCGGATGACTTTTGTGGTTTGAGAAAATGTTGGACTCGACGAGTAGGCCATAAACTCGAAGAGTCACGTCGAACTTTCGCGATTCTGGATGCACTAACTTGCCGTGCACGGGTTTTAAATGACGAACTCGCCGAGTCGGTCACTGGACTCGACGAGTCACCTCTGTTTTGTGAAAATCTATATAAAGGGACTTTCAGATCGATACCCTGGCATTAAGAAATCCTTGGGGGTAAAGCTGCGATTAGAAGACCTGCTAAGGTGCTGGAAGCCAAAGAATCAACCCTAGATCCAATTTTGAGAAGAATCAAGGCAAATTCAAGTCCATTCTTACTTATTATTTAAGTTAAACTATGTTTGAGTTGTTTGATTTCGTTTTTGATCTTAGTTTTACTGTAATCATGAGCTAAAACTATTATCTTTTATTTAGGATAGATGGCTTTATGATTATGGTATGATCTTATGGTTAGAATTAATTTTATTTTGTAATATTGTTTTGTTAAGCTTGTTAAAGAACCTTATATGTTAACAATAACTATTTTCTGCTAATAAATTAGTAATTAAGTTGTATGAACATCTCTTAATTGCTAATGTCATATGATTTATGTGAACACATAGTTATATGCCTAGGAATAACGAACATGAAACTAGGGTTAACTAGAAAATTGGTAAGTTAATGTGTGAGCTTGTGTGATGAACCATCAACAAGGAGTTAATTGAATTAACATATTTGATTAGCTTATGACAAGTCTTACTTAACCCAAATTAATAAACTATGAAATCTATTAGTTTAATCACTTGATCATTGCTTGAATTGATATGTTTTCTAAGGATTAGTAATAGCGAACGTGAACCAAATCACACTTATCGGTAGCCAATGCCAATTAATCCATTGCACTTGTCATAAAGTCAACCATAGGAATAAATGATTCGAACCTAAACAGAAATCTCCTTAATTATTGAATTTAGTTGATTTTTATTTGCTTAGCTCTTATTTGTTTAGTTTAAGTTTTAGTTAATTGTTTAAGTTTCTAGTCTTGCAAAACTAGAGAAAACTCATTTTTATTATTTGTTTTATTTAGATAATATTAGCATTTATTTTAATTGTTTATCATTCCCTGTGTTCAATACCCTACTTACCTGAACTAAACTGCTAATCGATAGGTACACTGTCTTTCGTGTATTTTTCCTTGTGTTTAAATTAGTAGGATTAAAACTAGTTGGTTTCACACACATCAACGAGAGTCCATCAAGGTCGAGTTCGCTTCTGCACTTCAAAGACTTTCGGAATTACACCCAGCAGAACCTTGTGAACTTGAATATACCATAGAATCATATCCGAGAAGCACTTTTTGTCGCCTTTGTTGTTACCCCTGTAATTGTTGACCATATACAAAACATACTCCAGGAAAGAGGTAGTTAACAGATGCTTATCAGCGAGAAAGAAGCAAGCCTTATGAAAGTATGCATCGTTTCGTTCTCTCATCTGAAATTCCACATATTGTCCTTCCTTTTGTATCTTTCCAAGCTTCAATTTCTCAAAATCTTCTAGGACTTCTTTAAGGAGAACAGTGGGCTTCCTTCGTAGCACAACATCAATTTCCACATCCATTTTGCCAACCTCTTGAATATACGAGATTAACATCTGCTTGAGGTGAGCAATAAATGGCTCATACTTCTGTCCATCTCTCAGTAATAAGTTGTAAAGCATGATCCATTCATAAGGATTGAGGCAAGGCAGATCTGCGAGAGTGAATTCATGGACCTGACTAGACGAACCTCTCACAACCTTGAACTTCACATTTGGGAAGCTTTCGGTTTTGATTGGACCAGTGACCTCCACTGCTGTAATCTTTCTAGCACTCCACGTTTTGTATTGTGGTTTCATATGCTTGAGATAAAACGAGAAGAGTCAATAATTTGCACCGTTAATAGTGGATGGGATATTCGCCACTTTCACGAAGCTGCGAAACTTGAAGGATTTCAAAGTTATTGGCAGGTCCATCTGCGGATCTTGTGTATTCTAAAGATTGAATGACACAACCGGTTCCAGCCAATATTGACTTGTCATATCCACAGCTTCATTTTGAATTCTCTTCAGAGTCCACACTGGAAATAAGAGCTTTCGGCTTTCCAGCATGACCTGAGCTTCGCGTTCAACTTTTTCCTTTGCTTCAGCCTCTCTAATTATTATTTGATGCTCATCCATCTGAGCTTCACGTTCCTTTCTTCTTTTCAGTTCATTTTTATCAGGCTCTTTTTCTTCACTATTATCGATTATCGATTCTTCATTGAAAATCTTTTCTTTGCCTTTAGGCGCAGTTTCGCACTTGACAGTGGGCTTGAATGAAGGTTTGGGGTCTTCCTTCTTGGATTGGGTCACACCTTGTCCCCCTTGTTTTGGAATAGAGCTTGATTCCATAACACCTTCCAGTCTGTGAAGCATGGCGAAGACGGGCCTGAGTTTCTTAGAGAGATGCTTCTTCACCGTTATTGTGATCATTGATTCACGAGTCTCAGTAATATCCAAAAGCAGGCCATTGGCATCAATTATACAACTCTTCATAGCTGCTTTCTCAGATAGTAAACCATTGACTCATTTTTCAGCATTTTCTAACTTGACCGTCAAGACTTTCACCTTTTCAGTCTTTAAAGAATTTTTCTCTCGAGGGCTAAGTCATCTTGAAGCTTTGAAATCATCGAGGAAATGGATGAATTGAACTCAGCATGGTCAGTTTTAAGACCAGTATGAACCTCTTGAAGTTTCACCTTCTCTATTTTAAGGGTTGAGCCCAGGCTAGAAATGACTTCATTAGCCTTCGCGGTATTGGACTCAAAAGAGCTCTGGAACTTCTCCATGAACACTCGTGCATCAGTAATTAGTTTATTGACTTTTTTGGTCGTACTGTTGCAAACAGATCCAGAAGCATCTACTACCTTGTTCATCTTTTCAAGGTTGGCAGAGTGCTCTTTTGTAAGGGTCTCAAGAAGGGACCTGATCGTGGATTGTGACTAATCATCGCTAGATGATGCCTTTGAAGATTGAAGTAGTGAATCCAGTTTGTCATGAATTTCCTTGAGTTGCCCTCTCATGATGGGAGCTTTGTCATCACTTTGAGTACTGATATTAAATGGACTGTAGGTGAATCCTGCGAAGTTATCTTCATCATCACCGTAGATTATGTATGGATCATTTTGGCGAAGAGGAGAAATGGGTGGTATGGAATGACCAGATGCGAAACCTAAAGCTCTTGGCCCACATCAGATGCGTTGATAATAATAGGAGGGTCAACAGTGAACGTTGTGGTGGTAGTGGAATTAGTGAAAATAGGAGGTGGGGATTGCGAAACGGCCAAAGAAACAGGAGGGAATGGGGAAATGGAGATGGGTGTTGAAATAGCGGCAGTAGGAGAAGGAATAGAGAAATCTTCAATGAAATCATTGGTAATAGGAACTGAGACAGGAATCTCAACGCTTACCTTAGGATTCGTAGAAATAGGCTGTGAAACCTCAGGATGTGAAGTTGTGGCAGTCTCTTCGTGGTGTACCGGCTCATCATCTGGAATGAAAACATCAGATTGAGTGTTAGACTGTTAATATTCACTTTCAATGGGAGTTGGAGTTCTTGGCTTGCGAGCTGGCTTCTTTATCTTTCACTTCTTTGTAGTGGTTGGTGCTAGTGCAGAAGAACCAACATGTGATTTTCGTTTCTTGGGAATTTAAGTGGGTTCAGAAGGACCCTCTTTAGCATCTTGTTTCTTTTCTCCTTTCTTACATGCTTTCTATCCTCCTTTCTTTGGTTTGTCATCTTCATCGATGATCGATTGCATCTCAGGAGTTAAAGGATGAAATCCTGAAACTGGAATTTTTATGTAGGCTTCAAGAATCTTGCTTGCTGCTAGGACATCGCGAAACATGACTTCAGGAATGGAGCCAACAAATGAGAACTTTGAGTTGTTAGCAAGTATGATGTTGGTAGTGTGGAATATGGACATGGTAGACATGAAGGAAAATTGCATCACCAGAATCTGGAGCTTCTTAATTTCCATTTGAACAATGATTGTCCAGAAGCGAGCACAGGAAATTTCACTGTGTCTGGTTGTAAAATGGGTACTTTGGATCAATTGAGCCCAAAGAATAGTCCCAAAATCAGTGTCAACCCCCGTATAGATCCCATACATGATTGTCATGAATAAATTACTAGCACAATCTGAGCTAGTCACACGCTCAGAAAAACTTTTAAACAGCAGGGTAAAAAGCCAATTCCATTGAGGTGGCAGATTGGGTTTCCTGAATTTAGAGATAGTAGTTAGGGTTTCTTTGTACCCTATTTTGTAAAACATCTCTATTATGGATGCGATAGAGACAAAATCAGGGTCAACCATATCATCATGTTGAGCAAGCCCTAGTAAGGAGCAAAAGCGGGACTTGGTGATTGAGGTTTTCTTGTTGTGCACTTCAAAGGTGATTCTTTGTTCCTCCTTAATATAAAGAATCTTTTAAAATACTTTATTGGGTGGTTCTATCTCCAATGAAACTACAAACCTTGATATAAGTCCAAAAGTTCGAATGAAGTACTTGTTTAACCAGTGTAGTCATTTGAACAAGTAATGGTTAAACAAGTAAGCTTTAGAATTATTTAAAGTGACAGGGATTCGCATAGAAATCTCAAGAAAAATAAAAATTGGATCTATTGGGTAGAAACGTATTAGGTCTAAAACATTTCATTAAGATATCGCAAAAAAAAATCTTGGTATAGACCACGAAAGTGGACATTCGTTAATTCCAAGGTGAAATATCTGGAACATGTATATTATTCACCGTCAATTCTTATAAGTGTGTTGGATTTTGGGTTTCACTCAGTTCATGGTGATAACAAATTGAAGATCATAAACATAGAATTTTTGTAACCATATACCCCAGTGGTAATATCTAAGAGTCTTGAGGGTTACATTGGTGAATGTGGAAGTGGTGGAGAAGAGTATGAGGTGGTTCCAAAGAAAGTAGTGTATCTCTGCTATGCGAAAGTGACCAAGCAACAAACTCTTAACTCATAATGAGAAGAGTAAGGTAGCTCGAGACTTATGTGAATGTACAACCTAATTGGAAAGAAACGATTGGTGTTATTGAATCATTAAGGCTTCAACATAGAATCATTGAGGCTTCGGACAACATGCAGCAACATGCTTCTAGGAACACTTAACTAGTACATAGATAAAAAAGTTTATATATGTCCCATCATTCGTAATTGAGATTATCAAGATGCTTGACAAAAAACCTGCTCAATTATCTAATAGTTTTGGTATTTTTGAAATAAGTAAAATAAAAGAGAAGAAAATAACGAAAATATTATTGTAATTTTGAATTTTCTGAAAAGAAATAAAAACAGAAAGAAATATTTTTGGATTTTTGATTTTTCTGAAAAAAAAAATTAAAACACAAACAAATAAAATGTTTTTGTAATTTTTGAACATAAATACATAATATACATAAGGATATAAAAAGCTCCAATCCATGAATGAACAATTAAACGTGAGACTCTACGGACCTTCGCATGGATTCGCAAGATAAAAGAAGGCTGCGAATTATTGCGAGCGTTCGCTCCTATTTGTAGGTCAAATAGATAACTACGAATTATTGCGAGTGTTCGTATCGATTCGCAGGACATCCTATAGATTGCGAAAGTGAAAGTGTAATCAAAAGCGAAAGTGTCACTATGAAAACGAACATGGTTTTGGAACTGATTCAGCTTCCATCATTCCTAAGCCTTGAAGAAGATGATTGAATGTAGATTCCGATATGGATTTTGTGAAAATGTCAGCTAATTGATTAGCAGATCTAACAAAATGTATCTCAACATTACCATCTTCCACGTGATCTTTGATGAAGTGATACCTCAGTGATATGTGTTTCTTCTTTGAGTGTTGCACTGGGTTGTGACAAATGCGAATGGCACTTTCGGAGTCACAATATAGTGGGATTCGTTTCATGTTTAGGCCATAATCATGAAGTTGATTTTGAATCCATATGACATGGGAAGTGCAAGAGGCAGCAACAATGTACTCGGCTTCAGTTGTTGATAAGGAAACATAGGTTTGCTTTTTGGATTGCCAACTGACAAGTTTGCCATCAAGAAATTGGCATTCTCTAGTTGTGCTTTTTCTATCTAACCCGCATTCTCCAAGATCAGCATCCGAAAATGCTTGCACAAAGAAACTAGACTTTGAGGGGTACCATATTCCAAGGGAAGATGTTCATTTAAGAAACCTGAATATATTCTTGACAGCGATCATGTGAGGCTCTCAAGGATTAGCTTGAAACCTAGCACAATAACAAACGGAAAACATGATATCTAGTCGACTAGCGGTTAGATACATTAGTGAACCTATCATTTGATGATAAAGTGTCATATCTACAGCCAATTTTTCCAGAGATGGAATTAGTTTTGTTCCGAATGCCATTGGAACCTTCACCTTTGAGTCTCCCACCATTACAAACTTAGTAAGCAAGGTCTTTGTATAAGCTTCCTGATTTATGAAGATTCCTTCCTAACTCTGCCTTATGTTCAAGCCAAGGAAAAAGTTAAACAGACCTATGGAGCTCATCTCAAACTTCGTTTCCATCAATTTTCGGAACTCAGCAGTTAAGATTGGGTTAGTTGAACCGAAAATGATGTCACCAACGTAGATTTGGATGATCATCATGCGCAAGAAGGTTGGGTCGACCGAACCTTGTTTAAACTTAGCATGTTATAAAAAATGAGTAAGAGTTTCGTACCAGGATCTTGAAGCTTGCTTCAGACCATAGACCGCTTTGTCCAAAACGTAGCAGTGGTTGGGATATTTTTTGTTTATAAACCCAGGTGGTTGTTCCACATACACTGTCTCTTTAGGTTCCCCATTTAAAAATGAACATTTGACATCCACCTTGTATACTTCAAAGTTCTTGTGCGCTGCATAAGCCAATAAGATACGAACATATTCCAACCTTGCAACTGGTGCGAAGGTTTCTTCGTAGTCGATGCCTTCTTCCTGGCAATACCCCTTGACAACCAGTCGTGCCTTGTTTTGTATGACGTTACCTTCTTTGTCTAACTTGTTGCGAAATACCCATTTGAGACCAACAACGGATGCATCTTTTGGAGTGAGAATAAGTCTCCAGACCTTGTTTCGTTCGAACTCATTGAGCTCCTCCTGCACTGCTTGCACCCAATCAGAATGATCAAGAGAAATTTGAACATTTTTTGGTTTAATTTTGGAGATAAACAAATTGAACATGAAAAATTCCACTTTAGAGAATAGTGCAGATTGCTTCGCCTTTTGTTGAGCTCTCGTAAGAACGCCTGAGGACGAATCTCCAATGACTTGAGTTTTCGGATGATCTTTGTTCCATTTAGCTAATAGAGGGTAGTTTGGATCATATGATGGATCCAATTCCGCATTTACTTCTTCAAATTTTGATTATACATCCGAATCATCATTCACATTTCCATTATCCCCCTCGAATGATGTATGATTATCATCTTCTTGATTCGGATTCACCCCTAGAAAGGTAGATCTAAACTGACATCTGGGGTTTCATTCTCCCCCTCAACAAGTGTGTTATGTGAGGAGGTTGAAGTTGAGCACTCCCCCTATAATGTAGCATTCGTATCTGAAGAGTGCGATGGACCTTCATAATCTTTCGAAGTGGGATTCTCCTGTTCCATTTATTTCACAACATCATCAATGATTTTCTTCAGTTCATTTTCTTTGTTGTCTGTTACTTTGGACTCTGAGGAGATTGTCTTCTTTGGTTCATCAAATAAATTCATGAGCTCCTTGTAAAGGTTGGAGAGTGGGATGGTAGCGGGATTCGGTATAGGGAATATCTCATGTGTTAGACTATCATTCTTCTAAAACTTCTTCGTGTAATTGTCGTCAAATGTAAAATAATAGGTTTCTTCA